GTCATTTGACATGATTGAGCCGAAATGCTTAATTTGGTCCATTGCCTTTCTGGCTTTCTGTGTTTCCTTAGCTTTCTGTGCCTCTCTGTGTTTCACTAGTAGATCAGCCGTATCTGCTGGGTTCCTCATTACCTTTGACTTCCGGGAATTAAAGTAAGGGACGACTTTTCAGCCTTGTTGCTTACGGAAGCCGCCATGTGACGGCCCGCTGCTCATGCTACTCTCCAGGACAGTATAATCTGTGTACTCCAAGTCAGCAAAATATCTACGGGATATCGATACTGAACCGCGTTTTATCTCTAGACTGATTCGTTTGCATCTGCCATGGTCAGTACCGTTTTTCAGAGCAGAAAATTGAGAACAATGTTGAATAGCAAATGCGACAGGACATTTCTACAGCAAACTCTGCAGTCAACTGTTAATCAGTTAGATGGCTCTTCGGCTTCGACCTTGGTTCCTGCACACGTCACTTTCTAAATAGAAATGATGTGCTCAGATGTCCCATAGCAACGGTCTAGCGTAAAACGGTCTAGCGAATCAGATTCAACCGTAGAGTTGAGAAAACTGACAAACCCCCTCGACTGAAATCGTCGGTATTGCTTTATGGTTCTACGGTTTAGAAGCCGATGGACAGCGAAGTTGTGCTTGTTCTTACCGATGCGCGTTTCGTCACTGACAGCTAGCGACATCATTATGATACAGATGTACAGGGGTATTCAACGTTCAATGCTTGGCCCAGAATGTAGAACGATTTCAAAAGGTTATATAAATGTTTTACGTTTATCCACTTTTTGTAGTCGTTTCTTTGGAGATTAACGAAACGTCGTCAGCCGTTAAGAGGGTAGGCTGTTGGATGAAAACATATTGTGCTCTTCTTTCGTCAGGATTTGCCGTCAAAGTAGTCTTCTCCTCTACGGAGTTGTCTTAACGACATTAGACTCTCCTCCCTCCACTGTGTTCTTAGGGGGTTTTAGGCAAAATTTATTACCGTACTAGCATTTAGGGGTAATTTTCTGGGCTGTTGTATGCTGGAGTGTAACCGACCCATTCATCGTTTCACGAGGTGGAAGTTCGACGTTCTCGGGAGAGCCATTACCGGCTACGGTTAGACAGGCGAATCGATTAGCCGTGATTGAGTGTAAAAAGAGATTTCACGCCGTCACGCCGTACTTAATTTAGCCTAAAGGAATAAGCTTTGTTTTCTTTTAATCCTTTTTTGTTTGTTTTCTTTTCTTTTCTCTGGCCATTAAGTAAATCTAACTTTACTCGGATAGATACAGTTGTACTACGAATTTCATTGTTGGCACGGCATGACTGTGCTTTTTAAGTTTCCAGTTTAGTGCCACAGACATTTCGGAGTTTTTCTTCAGCAAACATACCACGTGGCGTTTTTGACATAGCGTCGATACCTGTGACTCTCGGCTGTCATCTAGCGGTCAGCTTGAATCATTTAATGATCAACTTTCAAACAGAAGCGATCGAACTTTACAGTCGTCTAACCGACTTCCGCTGCTCACGCCGATCGATCCCTGTAGGCAGACGAAGGTAGGAATGCGACATGTTGGATGAGAATAACCATGTCCAGCAGGTTTTCGAGATATGTTCGCAGATGACGTCCTCGCCTAACGCAAAAACGCGTTGAAAACGAAGATGCAGTATTCTCGGACATTCTGAGTCAACTGCCCCGTTTTTCGAACACAATAGTATTAGGACACATTTTTTAATAAGCTTGACTGAATTAATTCATATATCAGCCGTCGCCGGTCCCAATTCCGAATGAGGAAGGATGAGGCATCTCGTCTCTTGCAGACCTGCTCCTCATCGTAACTGCAGTTATCGAAGTCTACACCGGCTCGAACGCATGCTTTTCTGGAACTGAGGCAGACTGCGAATGGTCGGCAGTCATAACCTGCTCCGAGTCTTCTGGCAGCCGGGGGCGTAGCGGGACGCAACGGTTGCCGAACATTGACTTGATGAAGATGCGGATGATTTTATTATACAAATCACGTCGCGCTGGGTTATGAACCTTTCCACCAAGCGCTGTAGATGAATTTCAGATGTCAGAAAAGCGGCAGTCTTCTCGTCTCGACATTTCCGACGCTTTGTACACTCATCGCGTGACAATTCTATCCATGTACAACACAAGTAGGGTAGAGGACAGAACGCAGCCTTGGCGGAGACCGGTGCCTATGCTGAAGGCCCTCAGTTAATGCCGTTTATTCCGACGCAGCACCTGCTATAAACATATGATGACTGAATGGCCTATAGCACCTGCTATCGATCTCTAAGTTCGAAGACACGCCCATAAATTGTTGCGGGGTTTCCGGTGATGGGCTTTCTATGGGTCAACTAAACACATGTAAAGAGGATGAGCGAGCTTCTGTGACTTCATGTACTGAAAGACTATTAACCGTTGTTTGCTGCTGTTCAAGCGGGTCTTCTTGCGGTTGCTCGGGGTTAAGAAGTTCCTGAAAATGTTCTCGCCATTGTCGACGTATATCCTCTTCCTTGGTAGGAATGCATCCGGACTTATCCTTCAGGACTCTCACACTGCCCCTATTTTTATCTCGGAGGCTGCGGATGGTCTTCCAGAATACTTTGTTTGTCATCTGATAATTCCACTTCATCGCCTCACAGAAATTTTCCGCGGAATCTGTTTTCGCTACCACCTTATGTGCATTCTTCTACCGTATTCGAGTTGAAGTTGTACCTAAGTTGCGAATTATTGTTTCCATTTCGTCGTTATGATAGACGTTATGTATGTTTGCGTTAAGGACTGCTACTGAACTACAAGTCGAATGTTTGCGGGAGTGGGTCACACTTGTGGCTTGCGTCATAATTCTGGTTTTGTTGCTTTAGTCGAAGAATCGGATTTATTGCATCTCTATGCTGGCAGCTCGCCTTGCACAAATGAATAAACTGATTGATCCAATTAATGCTCAGTTCTGAATCAAGAATCTGAAGGTTGATCTGAACGGTTGATAGCAATGCCGCTGATCAGTCGATGCCTTTGGAATTTTTCCAGCAAATCTGATGTGCTGTCCG